TCAGGCAATTCTCCTGCCTCAGCCTCCTGAGTAGCTGGGATTACAGGCACGCACCACCATGCCCAGCTAATTTTTTGTATTTTTAGTAGAGACGGGGTTTCACCGTGTTGACCAGGCTGGTCTCGATCTCTTGACCTCGTGATCCACCCGCCTCGGCCTCCCAAAGTGCTGGGATTACAGGCTTGAGCCACCGCGCCCGGCCCCTCTTAATAAAATTTTAAGGGTACAAAACATTTTCATTAACTATGGGTACAGTGTTGTACAGCAGATGTCTAGACCTAATTAATCTTGCTTGAAACTTTATGCCCACTGATTACTAACTCCCCATCCCCTCTCCCACCCCAGGTAAACCACCATTCCACTATTTGATTCTATGAATTTGACTATTTTAGATACTTAATGTAAGTTAAATCATGTAGTATTTGTATTTCTGCAAAGTCCTCAAGGTTCATCCATTTTGTTGCATATTGCAGAATTTTCTTCTTTTTTAAGACTGAGTAGTATTCCTATTTCTCCAAGACTAGAGCTCAGCGCATGTCCAGACATAGCTGAAATGGGCCATCTTCCCCCTTTGCCATGAACTCTGATTTGACAGTATATGGCACAGAACCTTAACTTAGCAGACATTTAAATGTTTGTTGATATTAAAGATAATTGTCTTAAGCCAGAAGACCTGGAAGGTAGCCATTTCTATTCTTTGGCAAGAACAGCTGACTACCAGAGATCACACAGTATTTTTCCAGATAGTGTTGCTACTTGGAAAATTCTGGAATAAAACAAACAAATTTTTCAAGTGGGAAGAGGTTATTTTAACACATCACACGTTTGGTGTTACTCTAAACCTTACTGCGGAAGTCTTGTGCATCTAGGTGCAATATTTTAAGAATAGAAGCATGTCATTTTAGCCAGCAGATGTCCCTATTGTTCAGCAGGATTTTTTGTTCTTTCCCAAGTAGTAACTTCAACAGTAGATAGAAATTTTGGGGCCTTAATTGCTAATGATATGCTTTGGCAGACCGAGGGCAAGCCTGAACAGTAAT